TAATGTAGTTTTCATGCACTGCTAAACAAAAACAGGGCAGAGTGAGAGGCAGCTTTAAACAGACTTTTGTTTTTGTGTTTAAAAAAAAAAAAAAAAAAAAAGGAGTGTGGAGCCCTTTCTCTGTCGCACTCAGCCTTACTTCTCCTCAAGACTTATTCGGCTGTTTGCACTACAGAGCGCTAACTTTTCTATTTCTCTCACACGTTTCATCCTCACTCACATTTTCCTCGCCTTTATTTTCTTCTTTTCCCACCTTTTAACACGCAGCCTGTTGCGCTTAGCTTGCAGATCACCTTTTATTTATCATTTCCTCCTCTTCTTCCTCACACCCCTCCACTATCTTCCACTTCTCTCACTGTATCTGTGTATTATTCTAGTAAAAATGGTAAGCAGAGGTGTCATTGTGGTAGTATACTCAGTGCTCAAAGGGTTGCTGATGGTAGAAACCTGTGCCGTTTGTAACATTTAGCAATAACGTCAAAAACAAAGGGGACGGTTCTTTTTTTTGTTTTTTATAACATAACGTTAGTTTGTTTTTTGTACATATTGCAGCTCCAGATCATTGCTCAAATCTGTATGTCATTAAAAGAAGAAAAAAAAATGAGAAAAAAAACTTGCAATATTGGCATAAAAATGAGAAATAAAAAAAAGTGATGTAAAATCTCACTGTGTGTTTTTATGATGATTCTTTGATTATTTTTAGTTTGAATCATGATTGTAGCTGAAGAGAAGAAATAACCCATTATTGACATTTATTTATTTATTTGGTGTGTAAACAACAGCGTCCAATGACGCTTCAACATCTGGTGGCTGCAAGGTGACTGCAGGTGGGGAGGTTTGGGCATTTACCAAGCCCAAATGGAGCTCTAATCTAACGAACTCCCAGTGGATCGTCTTTCCTTTAAGTCCTCTGTCTTTAAAGCTGTTAAAAGCTCTGAGTCGCTCTGCTGAAGTGTGCGCACGCACTGACTTTATATGGTCGATGGATCGCAGATTTGCAGGAGATCACAACATCTTCCACCAAAGCCAAACTCAGGTGTATATTACAAAGCAATAAAAATCACTTGACTCACTTTTGTACATTCAGGTCTGAACCCATTACCTCGATATTGAACGAAACACGCAGCCATTGCACTTTAAAGTAATAATTTACAGTGGAACATTAGGGCTATATTTACAGTGAGAAAGCTGCTACATCAGTGCTGCTATATTTAACATTTAACTGGAAATTGGATGGATAATACCAGGAATTGGCCCTTTTGAAGAGGAGTTGCAGGTGTTTTGAGTCCCAGAAAAAGATAAGGCCCCTGCGTGCCCACGAGGTGGGTCAAGGACAGCAGCAGAGCCGTTTGTGCAGCGAGCGATTGAGTTACGGCTGATCTGCAGCGTGGGGATCAGACGACACATAAAATGTTGTTTTCAAGCACAAGTTTACACAGCTAGGTGCTTAAAATTCCTAAATATCGATATTATAGCTCATTTCGAGCCTGTTTACACTTGGTTTGAAATGCATCTTGGGCAATCGGGTCACAAGCGGACAGCGTTATATACACGCGTAAACAACCACAGAGATGTATGTGATCACTCAGACCCATTGCCTTGGTGGTCCGGGACACATTAGGCAACGTGCTTTTTGTGGTGTAATAGTTAATGTTTCCTGGTCTGTGCCCAGCGAGGACGTCATTGATGCAGGATGTGGTGGTAGCAACTGACCTTGTCCTGGCTGATATCAATTGCCGGAAAACCCCATACAAGCATATTGTTCATTGAAAAACATTTCAATTTCATCCAGACTGGCGCTTGTCTAGTGCTTTGACCTTCTTGAGCAAGGATGGGCAATTCATTTTCCCAAGGGGCTACATAACAAACTGGGACTGCTGTGGAGGGCCCAGTTTGTTATGTGGCCCCTTGGGAAAATGAATTGTCCACCCCTGCTCTAGTGGGACTTGTGGAGCTAGTAAGAAAATGAACTGAAGTGGTTAGCTGAACACCTCGAAGATGCATAATAGGTGTTAACAGCAACGTGTCTCCACTATCCACTTGTTTGATTCATTGAAATGCATCTTATAACCAAATGCAAATAAGGGGTTTGTTTTTTCTCAATGTCTTCTAGAGGTGCTTGTCACAAGCATCGAGCTAAACATCAAGCTAAATGAGCTAAGCATCTTTGCGTTAGCTCATTTAGCGCTCAGAAATTTTAAACTGGCAACACTTAAACATTAAAGGTTACTCAGTGTCTTTGGCTCAGATTCTGCCTAATAAAGCCGACATGGTAATCACAGGCTCAAAGTAAATTTAATTTTATTGATTGATTAGGTATTCTTGGCTTTGTAAAACTGATTAGGTAAGTTTGAAATTCAATCTGTGGTGTAATAGCTAAAGTCTCACTAATAGAGGGAATTTTGGGAGCAAATTAGGAACAAGTAAAAAATTATACATTTTTCACATCATTTGAATATGAATACTTGTAAATTCCAGTGGGAAGGTACAATTTGTGCAGCTGTAACAGTACAGTTGGACTTTAGTGACAATAAGCTTTAAAGGTTACATAAATAAAATACATTCCTTCAGCAGAGAATCTGTCACACTAATGGACTGTAAAAAAAAACATGATGCTCCCAGCCAGTTTTAAATTAAAGCTCTGAACATAACCTGTCCCAGACAAGGTTATAAGTTGTCGTGGAAATATAGTCAGACTAAACAAAAACACAAAAAGCATCTTGCTAACTCGTTATACAACCCTCTAATCTTCAAACTATACTTGTAGCTTGAACTTTTTTGTTTATGTATATATAAAATCTGGAGTTGCATGTTAAATTTTTATGTCATTTCCCGTAACAGGCTAGCTATGCAGAAATCGTCGCACTAGTTTGCATTAAAATAGCTTAACACAAATAGCATAATTGCAGAACAAATATTGCATTTGTATTTGTACATGTGAATTACATATAAAAGCAGCAAAATATTAGTGACCTTTAGAGCCAATAATAGTAGGATTCTTCACGAGTATTTATAGAGTATCTTTTATCTGCCATTAAAAGCATTTTCCCGCCTTTTCCTTCAACGCTTTATTCCACTTTCCCGCCCTAAATAGCCTTTTTAATGCTCTTCCCACCATTAAGAGCTTTATTTCAGTTTTTCTTGCCATTAATAGCTCTGTTTTACATTTCCCACCAATAGTGTTTTCTAGGTTTCCTGCCATTAATAGCTTTATTTCACTTTTCTTGCCATTAATAACATTGCTAATTGCTAAGCTAGCCACTTGATATCCAGGTTAAATGTTTTCTTTAAGTCGGCCTTTACTTATGTTTAAAAACTTGCTGTTACGCAACGATTTTAACGATATTAATAATACAAAGAATAACACATATTAAAAGCTTTAGAAAGTACATTTGGATTCATTACAAAATAACTGGAAATCAGTGGTTGTCATTTATAAATAAAAGCTAAAGCACATTTGTTTAGTTTCTCATTTGTCATTTTATAAAAGATAGTTGGGTTTTTATTTATTTATTTATGCTTAAAGGTCATGTTGGCTTAAAAGGTCATTTTTCACCATTGTAATTTATTGGGATTAACGTCATCAAATCTTTAGATCAGCTATTAAAAAAATAAAAGTAAAACTTTATTGAACTTTCAGTGCATCAATTAACCCATTTAAAATGATAAAAATTGACCTCTCTTTGGCACTGCGTGTTATGTGAAAAGCTGCCCACGTAATGCACGTGGATCAAATGAAGCATGTGTAAATACTGTTTGGTTACTGTACAGTTCAGAAGCAGTTTCTAGCGTGTATAAAACAAAAGCAAGTAAAATGAAAACTGATTCTCTGCTTCATCAGAACTTTGCACTTTTCCGACAAGCTTGTGGGCCCTAAAAGCAAGTATGAACAGGCATCACTTGGCCACTCTGCAAGCTTTATGGAAACATTTATGATAAAGTCACAGCTGTGACTTTACGGACGGCACACCACATCTGCTCCACAGTCTCTGCCTACTTGTCACATTAAAATAGTGGCGCTAAAGCAACATGTTTGCTTAGTCTCGAAAGCACTGTGACAGCTTTTCGCAAAAACAACAAACCACAGCTCTCCATCTTATGCTTGCACTTGGGCCAGTACACTTGGTGCACAGACGGATCAATCCGACTTAAGTCAGCTCACTCCAGGCTGATCCACGGATGCCTGTGTAGGTGAAGCGTGTGCTGCTTCCACTTGGCGACGTGTGACCATTCTGCTCAGGGCTCTTGGGCCCTTCTCGCGGTCTGCCCGCTTCCCCTTGGGTTAGTCTGCTTCCAGCTGACCTCGTCAAGCCGCTACTGCCTCCACCACCCCTCCTGAAACAGCTGCAGCAGGAGAAGGTAGCCAGCATACCCTGGCGGAAGCGCTTGTTCATGAAACAGTAAATGATGGGATTGACGCAGGCCGAAGTGTAGGAGAGCAGGTGGATGAAGGAGATCGGCGCGCCGGTGAGACGGTAGGCCGAACGCCGGTCGAAAGCTTGCCATGCATTGACCACGAAGACCGGGGTCCAGCACAGGAAGAAAAGAAACACAATGACCAGCAGCATTCGGATAACACGTTTCTTAGCCATCAGGTTGGACGTGGAGCTGCCGCTGCCACACACGCGGCCCATCATGGAGCTACCGGTGTTCATCGTCAAACTCTTCTTTTTGGATGGCTGCAGGTAACAGCCATCGCTGTCACCTGGCTTAATGCTGCTAGTGCTGGACTGTCTGTCTGCAAGGGAAGATAATAATAAACTGATTTATCGCTAGCATAAAAAAGAAGTTCAAAGCCGCCAATTCCATCAGTGAGCAAGTGAAGCAGTCCCCCCCAAATAGCCCATGTTTTCAGAAACTTTAGCTAGAGTGCCCCAATGTTAAAGTAGAGAAGCTAAAATCCATATTAATCGATCTTTGCTTTTAACTGTTAACATTCAAAATAACCACATTTTAAAAACTTTTGTCACTTTCTGTGCTCAGGTACCATACCTCTGCCAACTTTCCTGTTGGACATCTCAAACTTGATGCCCCGGTAGAGCTCTATTGAGATGAGTCCATAGGCGGTCATCATTACGATCCCAGGGATAAGGAAGAGCAGCAACAATAGGGACACATACCTGGAAAGAAAGATATTTCGGGTGGGGTGAGAGAATCCATGAGCTTCACACATACCTCAAATGTGTGGTTTCTCTTACTGTTTGTACTTAGTGAATACCAGAACCCCCTCATCAGTCACTTCTACACTATTTTATACATTTAATTGCTTAATTCTTGAGCATTTAAATTTTAAATCTTCAGCTCACCAGGACTGCTGGATGATGTCGTTGGGCCACACCAGGCGGCACATGTGCCCGGTGCTGTTGTTGAGACGGGTGAAGGGCTTGAGGGTGCTAAAAATGGGGTAGGGCAGCATCAGTATAAAAGACCCCAACCAGGTGGCAGTGATGACCTTGGCAGCGTGGGATTTTGTCTGCCACACCCTGGAGGTGAGGGGGTTGCAAATAGCACTGTAGCGCTCCAGGGAGATGGCCACCAGGTTAAAGGTGGAGACGCTCACAGAGACACCTGCAGAGGTCAGAAAATCCACACAGTTCTGATTGGCTGAAACTTCATTCATTACATCATCATTACAGACTAATGTAGAACACTGCATTTTTTTTCTAATGTGTTACATTTGTTTTAAAACGGGAATATCAGACAAACCAGCAGCAGCTGCGTGACGCTGTCATATCAGCAGCTTGATTAAGAATTAAAGCAACTCTGTGTTTGTGTGTTTTACAGAATAGTCATCGGAACTTGTTTGGCTTTACCACCACATATAAAACCACAACAAGTGCATTCACTCTTTACAACGAAATTACAACCAAAAGACCATTAACCTAGCTTAGCATAAAAAAATTAAATTTAATAAAAAAGGACAGCTTTACCCCACGCTCATCTATATTTATTAAATCTGCAAATTTAGAAAATTGTATATTTAAAAAATGGCCTCAAAATGACTCGTATGATAATTTACACTTTGGTCTTATTATGTTTACGTCTCTCTTCTCTTTGCTTGTCTCCTCTGCCTTGTGTCTGCTTTGCCAGGACACACAGAGGTGAGCAGAGAAAGACCAGATAGTGAAACAGAGAGCAGAGGAGTGTGGCTCCCAAGGGTCTTAAACCTGCTCTCTTTTTAGCCAGCAGGGGGCGACTCCTCTGGTTGAACCCAGTTCTGTCAAAATGAAACAAATACGTGTGAAGTAAGAACTGAAGTTTAGGCATCTGTAATCCTTTGACTACCAATTCTCACTTCATCCACAGACCTGCTTTGCATTTTTTAGAAAGATGCCACCGCAACACTAATCGTCTATTAATAAGTGTCAATCGTCATCTTTCTCTCCTCCCCCTGTGTGCTGCATCTCCCACAAATCATCCTCACAACATGTCACTGACTTTACAGTAATGTCGCTGCACACGTTAATGCTCCACCACATTAAATTTAACTGCTGAGCTGCGACAGAGCACATCCTGCGCTGCCTGTCAGCGCGGCAGCAGTGGCGCGCTCAGAAACAACAACAGGATGCACAAACACACTTGAAATAGCTGCTTTGTGCAATCCGAGAGGACACACAAACAGACAGATGATGCAACAATCCCGGGAGAGCTTTGTGATTTTGAGGAATGAGCTAAATGAAAAATGAAACTCACATTTCCTTGCGGACGTGTAATTTAATGAAAATGAAATATTAGCAGTAGATACAACATCGGTAATGAATGCACCTTATTACAGAGCTCGCAGCGAGAAAATGTGATTCACATGTCTGATGGGACTGACTCATCTCCTTTGAAGCTGTCAGTATGGAAGTTTTCAAATGCTCGAATAAAGATAAATGAAACTCTGAAAGGAAGTGACACAGAAGGACAAACTGAGGCAGCGAGTCTTAAAAAGCAAAAAAACTCCAAAGAAAAAAGATTTATGTTGCTTTTTGTTGAAAGTACTTGAAAATATTTTGATTGTGACTTTTGAAAAATGTTTAAATCTTCCATAGATTGTGGCATCTGCTGCTAACTGCATGGAAATGATAAAACTTTTTGACTGTAAAACAAACAAACAAGAAACAGGAAACCCCTAAACACTCACTGACGCCATTCGGCACCACAAACCACAGATCTACCTGTGGGGCTTCGTACTCTGTGCAACGCGCAGCCCTCTCTATCTTTAGACCCTTGTTTCCGGTTTGGAAATCCATCCTCCATAACAGAGACCTCAAGTCTCCATAACAGAGACCTGATGTCTGGTGATGGTGATGAGCTAAATTACTGGAAGCAGATGCATCATGGTCTTCAGCTGTGCAGCCTCAGTGGTATAAATTGAGGCTGTGCAGTCCAGAGGGGCTGGATGAATGTTACATTTGATGTCACTGATCCTTTCAGACTCGTGTTGGCCGGTTGGATGCGTTTGATTAGAAACGATTTATTTATTTTTCTCCCCCCTCATTGAAAAAAAAAAAAGCCATGTGATTATGCAAAGTTGCAATTGCTTTTTACACCTCACCATGATTGGTTTAAGAACTTGCAATAGATGTGTGTGGAACGATCAACCTGGGAACGATCCAAATATCGATAGTATCGCTATCGGATCGATACTTTGCATCTTTACTCTGAGCTGTGTTGAATATAATTACACCTCAAACATGCACTGTGGAAAATGTCTGAACCTTTTTTGTTGACTGTCATGTGTATTTTATTTATAGCCTATAGCACATTTAAACAATAGAAGCTGTTGGGTAGATTTCAATTTCAGGTCTCAAAAAAATCCAGTTTCAAAATCCATGAAAAGCTGAAATGAGTGTGTTGTTGTGTTAACTGATTATTGTGGAAGGTAGAAATGAAAGTTTTTTTAATGGCCATTAAAACGTCTACAAAAATTTGTAATCTGAGCTGCCTTCCTAGTGTAAAAGTTTCAGTATCGGTGTTGGTATCGTGCCCTTGCATTTAATTGCATTTACTTGATATCTGACCGATACCAAAATTACTGCTCGTTATTGCACAGCTTTAACTATCGATGATATCCCAGAAACCTGCTGGTGTGGTGCATGCATGAACGCAAATTCCGCCTTTTCTGAATTCATCTTATAATACACCCTGATTTTATCTATTTTTATATTTATACTGACAAACTCATAAAAAAAGTTCCACTCTCGTGTTCAGCGTGTCTGAACATCTCTGAGCCACGCTGTTTTTAGCTGACTGTCATTAAAGCTCCGGGAGGATTTGAAAATACAGGGAAATGAACCGGGCTCTGGACATGCCCTCAGATTACTTTAATTAGCATCTGTATGATTCCATTACCAACACAATTCAAAACACGATAATAACTCACAGAGCTGGGGAACTGGGTCATGTTTGTGTGGCATGTTAGGAAGCCTTGAACTGGAGGACAGATGTGCACTGGTGTGAAACTTTATTTAGTTCATTCAGACGCATTTGGACATATTTTAACTGATTAAATCAACTAAAATAGTCATGTTTTAACAATCACAACAATAAACAACTTGGGCTGTCGATTAATATGAAGAATCGCGGAGGACACGTACCCATGAAATACATCACCAGCTTGCATGTGCCGTTGCCGAAGATGAAGTCCCTCATGAGGTTGGGGATAAGGGTGAAGGGGATGCAGACTAGGGACACCGTCAGGTCGCTGACGGCCAGAGACAGCAGGAACAGGTTGGTGACGGTCCTCATGCGCCGGTTTCTGACCAGGACGGCGATGATGAGGCTGTTCCCCAGCACGCTGAGGAGGAAGATGAGGCTGTAGAGGGCGATCCGCACTGTCTGGTTGATGTCTGTGGAAGTGGGGCACAGTACGAGTTTACACGCACACAGATACCAGTTTCTACATTTATTTAAATGAATGCACAGCCCGTATGCTAAAACCCCCCATAATGTTTATAAAATAGCCACTCATATGCATTTAGGCTGTAACCACAGAGAGACCTGGAATATCTTCAGGATTTGTATTCATTTTGGGGGTTTTGGCCTCAACAACGTCGCCACTGATGCGTCTTTGGTCTCTATTTAAGTCCTCAAAGTGCACAAAGATAGTTCAGTTCATTTGACATATGCGGACTCAGTGAGCAGTGACAGCATTATGTGTCACTACTCACATACAGCGGACTACATTAGCTTTGAGAAGGACCTGAGCCATATGCGTAATGCGCACTGACGCACGAAAAATGCCCAAAGCAGTCGCTCTTACGGTACAAGCCCGAGTAGAATAAACGCGGTTTGAGCCACTAAATAAATACATTTTTTTAAAAAAAAAAAAGGAACATCGGACTTTTGAATGGAGTGGTCTAAAATTGCACAAGATGTTCCTCGGCATTTTGCTGGCGGATAAAGTCGCTGTACCTTTGGGTTCTGGTAAGATGTCTTGCTCGCTCTCGCACTCGGAAATATTCTTGATCCCAAAACTGCACAAAATCCTGTTGAGGTCCGTTGAGTTTATCAGCATGTCGTGGATTGTAAACGTCTCCATTTCGCAGTTTCTCCTATAGCCTCGAGTAGAAATCAGTCATATGAACATCAACCGGAATGCTCCTTCGAGAAAAGAAAAATGCTCCAGGGTATTTGCACGGAGAAATACTAAGCATCCATAGTGATTTTATTATTATTATTACCTTATTTAACGAGGCAATAAAAAGTTGAGGGGATGACAATAATAAGAGCAGGACTGCTCTCTACAAGTTCCCGTGCGCTCTCGGCTCCTCTGGTGCTCCACATTTCCAACTCCTGACAGCATGTGGAAGGGTCTCGCTCTTGAAAGCTCAGCCCGCCTCTTTGGACCCCCCCTCCTCCTTTTCTTTAAATCACCACGTGTCAAACCATGGCACTGATAGAGAGAGAGGGAGAGATAAGAAGGGCTGATAGATTATAGTCCGGCTCATTTGGAGGAAGGTTGAAGCCAAAACGTCAAAAATTCAAATGTACCGAATTTCAGTCCTTCACCTGCCGTCGGCTATCCATATATCCCACGCCCCCCCCCCTCCCGAATTTCACCGTGGAACTGCAGGACTGGAGAAGCTCTTTTACCTTTTACTCTAGTTTGAGTTGTTCTGACGGGTGGAGGAGCAGGCTGTCGTTATCGCCAGCTCCAATATTTAGAAGTCAGTCACACTGACTATTGTTTCACTCCCTCACACGAGAAGAGACAAGTCATAATTATAGTCTTGGGAGTTGTTTGATGAAATTCTTAAAAGTTTAAGAGAATGGAGAGAGAGGAGAGAGAGAGAGAGAGAGAGAGAGAGAGAGAGGAGAGAGAGAGAGAGAGAGAGAGAAGATGGAAGAGAAAGAAGCTGTTCACGGCGGGTGGGTTTCTGCTGTAATCTGTTATTATTTAAAGCCGCTTCGACACAAACCCCGTTTAGTCTGGTTACAGCAGCACCTGCAAAAAAACAAACAAACAAAGGAAGTGAAGAGCAGAGAACTAATAGGCTATCTCAGGTGCATCTGGCCAGATGTGAGACCACAGCTAATAAAATGAAGATTTTTTTTTTATTTCACCTCCAGTTAAACAGATGCAGTTATATCATTTGGGTCATTTCCAGTTATTCTCCAGAATCATGAGCCTCGGCAGTTTATTCATGGAGCGCATTCAAATACATCTCATGCAGAGCAGGTTTGCTTAGTCTGGACAGAGATGCTCGTTTATTACAAACTCAAACACGTGTAAATCATCTGTAGTGTGATAGTAATACATGACGTATCACTGTGTGAGAAGCTTTATAATGGCTTTATTTCATGTTTGGTAATGTATAGAAATCCTAACCTGCAAAGTTTTATTTTATTTTATTTTACTTTTGTTTTTATTGTTTTCAGTTTCAGTTTTATTCTCATTATTTTAAAAAGTGTTTGTCTTTTAATTTAAAAAAAATTATTTTAGAAATCTTTTGTCATCAGTGAGATTTCAGAACCTCACGCAGTGTAAACACTTTGCTCACACACATGGCATAGTTTGTGTAAATTCCTGTTTGGGCCTCAGGGGGTTTTATTGGGGTGTGTTCCTGTGAAGAACTGCTGACGTGATTCAGTCAAAGCCAGCTTGACAAGTCCCAACCTGAATAAGACTACATTTTAAACCCATGAATTGTTAATGTTTCTTTTTGTTTTGTTTTGTGTTCCAGACAATTACATAACCACAATCAAGAAGAACCAGTTTTCACTTATGTTAGCCTTACCACTTCTCGGTAAGGCTATAACAAGTATCCATGCAAAATAGTGCTTCACACTTGTTAAACACCTTAGACTTACTCAGTTATGATGACTGTGTATTTATGATACAAGTACCTGGTATACCACAGGTCAATGGCATCCATGACAAAGATGCACAAAGGTCAGCCGCAGAGAGACCCTTCAGTGTGTGCAGCACAGTGTTGGAGATTTTCTATCACTCGGTTGTGATGAGCTGATTGAATAAAGTGATCAGGAAGGTTGGCTGTGATTGGCTGCAAACCAGATACTTTTGAAGCAGTAGTGGAGAGGAAGAGGAGGTGACTGGACAAACTGGACATGTTTATATCTACGTGGCAAAAAATATTCTGCCTCACTATTATTATTATTATTATTATTACTTAATCATTAGAGTTGGCGCTCTTCTAAGGTTTGTTTGTGTTTAGAAGCTCGATATCTGGATAATATCTTACATTTCTCTCTCTGTACTTAAATCTATATTTTTGATAGTACAATAAAAACATTAGTTTCGAGTTATCAAGCCAAAATATGGAGATATTAACTAGAAATTTTGACATTTGGATGGGAAAAAAGGAGGCCGGAACTAAAGTGTGTGGTTCTTGTTTCCCCTGCAGACACGCAGCCCGTCCTCAGTTGCTAAGTAACCTCTGCAGGGGGCGGCTGCTGGATGCTGACAGTTTAGCCGCAGTGAAGCGAGCCGCTCGGCTTCAGACGCATAACTGAACGGGCTTTGACCAGAAGGAGGATGGACGAGGGCATCGAGCTGTCTCTGACCATCGCTCAGATCATCCAGCGGCTCAGAGGAAGCCATTTACACTCTCAGATAGAGAGGCAAGCCAAAGTGAGTGAGCTAGCATGTGGCTAACGACACGGTGCTTCTGCTTCTAGCTCACCTTTAGCTAAAACCACAGCATCCAGGCCACATCATGTCTAAGAATGTGAAGCATTGATTTCCCCATGTCCCCATTGTTTTCAGGAGTGTTTACACCAGCCTGACGTAAAACTGGAGTCTCTAAAAGAGGACGTCCGCAGTTTTCTCAAAACATCAGGTAGCAAGCTGCAAGAAATCTCTTCTCACAAAGTCATAATTAAGCTGTTGTCTCTTGTCTGTTTAGTGATAATAATATTATAACATATAATAACAAATTCCAATGTTTTCCAGGCTGGGAAAGAAAGCTGCAGAATGCAGTGTACCGAGAGCTGCACATGTAAGTGACATTTGGTGTAAAGCTGTCCATGCATGACGAAGCACTGCACACACACACACACACACACACACACAGTGGGGTTGAATTTACTCAAGCATGACAGTCATTGTGTTTGGGCTTTCTCAGCCTCAAAATGATTCAAAGCTAGTTTTGTGCCATGCTTGCGTTTGGTATCACTCTATAAAAACTCATCATGGCTTCAAGCATCCATCCATGTCTAATATTCGCACTTAATTTGAAATTTTTTTTTTATCGAATTTGAGCTTTTTCCCGAGATGACTTTTACCAGGATGATAGTAAAATGGTCACCTACTCAACCAGTGAGCTAAACTGATGCCCATAATACCTTTTAAAATAGATATTTTGAAATGTGTTTAATTTGCTTGAGCATAAAACTGTTAAAAAAACAAATCAAATAGGCAAAACAGAGAAAAATGCATTAAAGTAAACAGTTTTTTCTTGTATATAATAAAAAAAACCCCCAGAACTATTTTATCGGGTTTTTTTTTCTAAATTGGGGATTTCAAACAAACAAACAAACAAACAAAATGCCTCCAGAAAACAGCAGATGTGTAAGTGTAAATATCAGATAGAGCGTCCTCCATGCGGGCCAGTCGTGCTTATGTGTGTAGTCACCTGTCAAAGGCTCGTTGTGAGCCAGGAAAAATCTCTGCATTCATAAATTAAGTAATGTTAGGCTGTCAAAATAAACATTTACATGTACTAATAGCCTCTGCGAGGATCTCTGTGCATTTCAGTTTAGATGGAAACTGAATGCTTACACATTAGGGATGGAAAATTTGTAAACCTCTGCTCATGATCAGCTTATTAGATATAGTGGAAATTTTAATTTGTTTTGTCTCCTAGCAAACTAAAGATGCACGGCTCGATCTGCTGAGTCACTGCTGTGTATTGCTGGCTAATATGAGCCTACTGATGGTTGCTGGTAGACTTCAAAGGGGTTATTGCTTTTTCTATGGAAGATTCATTTTCCTTGACAGAAAAGTAGGAATAAACAAAAATAAAGTTTCCCCAGATTCTATAGTTAAACTTTGGTATCTGCATATGACAGCAAATATGCGACATATGAAAGTCTGTCTTCATCATCATCATTATCAGGCACACAGAGGATGCTGTAAAGACACATGAAATTTCGAGTTATCTTTATCAAAATTTTGACTTAATTTTCTCAAGATTTTGAGTTAATAAGTAAAAATTTCGAGTTTGCGCTGCCAGTCAGTAATCTACGTGAATAACGTAATTTCTTTGTTACCCGGAAGCTGAAGCCCTCAGCTACAAATGCTGCAGCTAAGTCACCAGTATTACAGCCAGTCATGTATGCACAAATTGCTGATTATTTTCAGCGTGGCTTCACAAATGATGAAATCCTTGTGTTATTAACTACATCACATGGCGTTACTATCAGCAAACGTACTCTTGAAAGTGCCGATATGTTCGATCTGGTTTTGAGTGCGCATTCCTCTACGCTAGATCCTTCCAGGTAACAAGAAAATGATGTAGATTACTGATTGGCAGCGCTAACTCCAGATTTTGAGTTAATAAATCGCAATTTCGAGTTAATATGTCAAAATTTCGAGTTATGAATATTTTTTTTTGTTTTTTTTACTGGTGGAAACGGGCTTCCATAAATCCACACAGGGTCAAAGTATACCTGCAGGCTCAAATATATACAAATATATACATACACTCACTTAATCTTTTAAAAAGTGCTCTTAAAGGTTCTACAGTGTCTTTTAACTTGACAAACCCAAGGCCTATTAACGAATGATCACTGGTTGATCATTGTAGTCAACCAGTGATTGTGATCGACTACAACCGGTCACTTCTCTTTGTAGCACAAAAAGGATTTATTTGACACCATTCGATGGATTGAACAATACGCAGAACACTGGGAAAGTCCAAGGAACTCAGTGAAGATTTGAGGAGGAGAATTGTAGATTTAGACAAGCTGGGAAAGTCTCTTAGAGCTCACCTTCAAGTTCAACTGAAATTAGCAGCTACATGCGTGGACAGGCCACATACTTTCTGGAGAAAAGTTTTTGCCATCACAGAGTGGATGGAATAATGAGAAAGTAGGACTACCTCCAAATTCTCCGACTTCACCTGAAATCAACAACGTGGTTGAAACCTGGACACAACTGGGTCTTTCAACAGGGCAAGATCCTAAGAACACATGGTTTTGGAGCGGACAAAGCAAGCTAATGCTAAATAGCTGGAATGGCCTTCCCAAAAATCTGACCTCAACACTGCTGAAAATCTGTGGACTACGCTTAAAAGCCAAGAAACCAAGAAATTTAAATGAAATCTACCAGTTGTGCCAAGAAGAGCGATCAAATATCAGCCAGAATTATACCTGAAGCTTGTTGATGACTACAAAACGCATCTGGTCAAGGTGCAAATTGATGGCAACCTTCTTTTGTGAAGAGTAGCAAATGTTTTCGAGAATAGTCGGGTAAAGTCTTTGAAGTCTTTGAAACACATTAGGGGGATAGAGATGATCTACATAAGACTTAATGTAAACAGAGAGCTGATTATAGAAGGAGACAAGGTTGGATCAAATTAAGGTGAGGCTGACAGTCACAAAGGAAGGATGTCAGGCAGATGAAGACAAAACATCATCGGGGAGTCAGAGGGAAGACAAACTCAAGAAGTCAAGGCAGAGAAAGACGCACAAGGACAAACAATTACCAAAACACAACAGGAAGCAGTTACACGAAAGATGAGAGAAGTCGTGAAGAAAAAAGAGAATCCAAGAGACAGTGGGGAAATGATCAAAATCGAAACAAGTAGGAAACTCAATAAAGTCCAGCACCATGACAAAGGTTTGTGCAGAAAGTGGCTGCTTTTTTCTTTTCTTTTTTTAAAGAAAGTTTCCAAATAAGTTGGAAATAATGAAGACGTGTGAGTGAGTGGAGCCAGGTTTACTTGCAGAAGCAGAGGGAGAACGGGGTCAGGAGCGTGCAGTGACTCAGAGCGCGCACAACAACACGGGCACGGCTTCATGGAAGAGACTGGTTACGTAACCCAACATCAGACTGCGTTAATGTTATAGATTCATCTCATTCTACACCTTGTTTACACATAAATACAACACGCACAATATAATAACACAATATATAAAAGCTGGTACACTACTATCTATTTAAAGGTGATTAATGCAGGTTTTTTTTTAAAATTTGGTAGAAATGTTGCTCTCTCCCGCACAAGTTTGGCTCCTCTGCCTTTCCCTCTTAGTGTTATTGGTTTACCTTTAAAAAAATGTTTGGTTTTTAAACACTGAAATTGTAGCTAAAAAGCCATTGTTCCCTGGACGTTAAAGACTAACAATCCCTCCACTGTTATCCACATTTATGCACTCTTTTTATCTGAAATCTCCGTTTGGCTGGAGGCCTTTTTGTCTCTTCCGTAAAAAGCTCGGAAACGTGTGCTGCACTCACTTATCTCGAAGAGCACCGGACTGTCTCTCCTTAGGCTCAGTCTGAAACAAGGACTTAATACGTTGCTTTGAGAGGGTGACATATAACAGTGACTAATGGCTCCTTCTTCTGGCGCTATGTGCTCTTATAGGTGTTTAGATTGGGGTGAACGTTGTTTAACGCTCTGAGACCTTGAATCATTCGGCATGCCCTAAGCAGGCTTAGCTGGGGGGGGGGCGTGACAGTTGTGCATTTGGAGATGTCTTCTGACTCATCTGGTGTCCATTTGTAGGCTCTAATGGAGACTGACTGCCTGCTTTTTGTAAAGGGGAAAAAAAGTAAGATTTCCCTTTTGTTTGACAGTTTCCTCCTTTCAGCTGCGTTTCTTTTCAAAATAAGATGCTCTTTGTGCCACGACCGGCTTCATTTTCCCCAAAGCTGTAAGTGTTTTGTGAAAAAACACAGTGGTGTTATTTGTGTGTCAGTCGGCAACGTTGTCTTACTTGCATTTGCTTATTCCAGCCAGCTGCCCCCGAGGCATCCCCCGGCTCCCCCGGAGCATCTCAAAGAGCCGCTGGTCTACATGCGCAAGGCACAGGTCGGCCCGTCTGCTTTTATTTCCTCACTTTCTCTGCTTCTCCCTGACTCCTATCATTTTTGTCTGCCAAATTCACTTTTAAATCACTAAGGTGTGCGCATGTGTGTGTGTCTCTTACACAGGCCAGCTGGGAGAAGCGTGTCCTCAAAAGCCTGAACAGCATGAGCACAGAGCTTGGAGTGCCTCTGGCTCACATGGTAACTAAAACATTGACAATCACAGCCAAGTTTATAGATTTTAGTTTGTAGGGTTTTTTGTTTTTATTTTGCAACATCTTTTCTAGAGATGTTGCAAATAGCACAAATTAAAAACCCTGCATCATTTTAACCCTGAGCCAACTGAGCTATGAGCTGCGGCTAACCCCGAGCAGCTTTTTTAACTGACGATATCCAGACTGTGTTGTTTGGAGTCTGTTTATCAGTTTGACTGCTTGCTTCTGCACAGGCACGATTGTATTTATGACTTATTATTTCGAACGCAATACTGATGTGACATTTTTAAGACGGGATGTGCGGCATTTGTTTGTTGAAATCTTGTCTTTCCGCCTGCTCCACAGAGGCCCGCGGCGGAGCAGAAGGAGCTCACCAACAAATGGAACGAGATGGGCACAGATGAACCAGGTCTCAAGACACTACCCAGGAGATTTGGCCTCGAGCAATCTGCCTTTTATGATAGATTAGTGTTGATGCGTTCAGGCGCTGCTGTATTTATCGCCAGCTTAGCACATCTCAAAACCAGATCTGCTACTTCCGTGTTTGCTTCCTAAGCCGCGCTAATGCAGCCAAGGCTTTCTAAGGCACTCGCGCTCTGTAACATCTGCATAGCGCACAGTGTAGCTTTTTGCAGAGCACACGCTGGAATTGTGCTGCCAAGCCTCCCCATAGACGACTGAGCCTGTGCTATGAATTCATTTTTGTTGTTTAAAAAGAGTTTTTATTGTTGTCAGAAGATACGTACCACTTTGACTTCAGGCCACCGTGTTTACAAAGAACACCCTAATCTCATGTCCTAACAGTGCTATCAGTGCTCAGTGGTGTATAATAACATTTAGGATGTGCCGTCCTTCGGCTGTAAACATTTTGGATCGTGAATCTAGAAGCTGTCCAGACTCCTGGTAGGGAGATAACCAGCAGCACCCCTTCCTCTCGTCGAAAGCCTTAATGTGGCCTTGTTCTGAGGATGACACGGGACTGGAACTTACTGCCGTGCTATGAAGACGGTGGACAGAAGTTCCACTTAGAGCTGGCCTTTAATTTGCATAGATGTGTGTTTAAGTTGAAGTTGATAAATTAAGTTCGCAAAGAAATGGCTTTTTTGACTGCTGTTACATAACACATTGTAAAGATTGTTTACGTGTTTATATCGCTGCAGATTTGAGTCGCTTCAGGCCTGTCTATGCTCCGAAAGACTTTCTGGAAGTAAGCACATTCCTCGCCTTGTTTTTTTACTGCTATTATCAGGATTGAACTCCATTATGTTACATAAATGCTGTCTAAACAGGTCCTAATCGGTTTGCGGAACCCCAACCACGATAGCAGCGAGGACATCAGCGTCAGGAGTCACTGGGGACTCATCCAGGTTCCTCTCAATGTCAGGGACATCCCACACCTGGTAGGGATCTGTGTTCCTCCCCACTTCACTTCACATGTTTGTGGGTCATAGGGATTTGGAAAAACTTGTCCTTGTGAGTGGGATCAGACACCAGCAGCTTATTCAAAGGATAGCTAACATCACTCCAATTCCTAAGTCTCTGACTGCCAGTTTAAAGGCTTATTAGCTGTTTCTCAACCTGAATATCCCTGATATTCTACAGCAGTATCGCCCAGAGAGGCCTCGTAGCTCAGTGGTAGTGGTGCCCAGAGCAAACTCTGAACAAGGGGAAATAGCTTTTTGTCATTATGCAGCAGTGAAACTCCCTGGCTGCTGTTCAAGCTATTAAATCCTGACTAATAGCTGTGTTGTTTATCACTTATTTTTATAACTCGTCACTCATGCCTTATAAGCAAAATATGAAGAAGTCATGGGTGTCTTAATAATGTCTCTTAATATATTTCTTTTTCTTTAACGTTTTGTGTTTATTAATAAAAACGTCTTGCATTGTGTTGAGGTAGAAGTGTATTCTTTGAACTGAAAGAAGAATAGATTGTACATTTATTCATGCGTTTTGTGTCTGTTGTGTTAAACTCTCAGCGAGAGGCCTACTCAGAGCTGAACCTGACCAGTGGACAGATGGGGATTGATGACCACGCACTCATCCATCCAGGTATTACTCCTTTCTTGGAAGGAGAAGGATGAGAAGGCTGATAGCAGATACTTAGCTTGGTAGTTATCATGCCCTAAAAGACATGTTCAAACTGTAACGATAACATGCTGGTGGTTGTAGAGTTTTGTACGTTTATGGCATACATATGTGAGAGTGCCATCAATGTTTTCATGTAACCGTCAAGAAAAGAAGCTCCCTGTTACAGCGCTGTGTCAGCCGTTTGGCAGAATCAGAGGCTCATTAGTTTTAAAAACGTTCAGAGGACTTTTTGTCCTATAAAATACATAATTTGTAGGCAAGCTTAGATCATAATAATTTTAATTATCACTCAGCAGCGTTTTAATACCAGACCTAAACACATTTCTGGTTGTGATTAAGAAAGAATACTCTAGAATAAATGTGTTTACCCAATGAACAGAGCGCTTTAATGGTGTATATACCACAGGGACTTCATATCAGTCCTTGTTCCTTTCTTGTGCCACAAGGGCCGTCTGGGATTTCTCAAACAACATCTCGGTGAAGGCCACATATCGACATTGTTACACTTTGGTGTTCAGGCTTGAAATAGAATCCAGCATGTCTGTTTGTAAATCGAGCAGATAGCACCACTGATGGATCTGTGCTTTCTTTCTCGTTCCTGTACAGACTTGTTTGAAAACGAGTATGTGCAAATCGGAAAAAAAGGTCAGTGTTTGGTTCTTGTTTTTATTCCTATTTTTTTTTTTGTGGAAATGCATTGTTGGGCTCTATTTCCTTCATGAGATTCTGTTCATTGTACACTAAATTACCAAAAGTATTTACTCACCCATCCAAAATGACTGCATTCAGGTGTTCTAATGAACACTTCCATGACCACATGTGTATAAAATCAAGCACCTAGGCGCACTATACACCTCACCCAGGTTGAGGTGTATAGTGCGCTGAGGTCGCCCACTTTTGCAGAATCAATAGTGACGGACCAACAAACTTCATGCGGCCTTTGATTAGGTCAAGAACTGTGCGTAGAGAGCTTCGTGGAATGGGTTTCTATGGCTCAGCAGCTGCATCCAAGCCTGACGTCACTAAGTGCAATGCAAAGAGTCAGATGAAGTGGTGTAACGTCAATGTGGTGTGACTGAACCTTATTTGTCTGGCAATCGGATGGACGATTGGTGGAGGGGTCATTTTAGACGCTCACGCTCCCAACTTTGTGTGAACAGTCGGGGATGGTCCCTTCCTGTTCCAACATGACTGCACACCAGTGCACAAAGCAAGGTCCATAAAGACATGGATAAGTGAGTTTGGTGTGGAACAACTTGACCGGCCTGCACAAAGTCCTGACCTCAACCCAATAGAACACCTGTTTGGATGAATTAGAGTGAAGGCGTGTCTGACCTCCAAATGTGCTTCTGGAAGAATGGTGAAAAATTTCCATAAACACTCCTAAACCTTCGAAAGGTTTTCCCAGAAGAGTTGAAGCTGCAATGGGTGGACCGGCATCATATTAAACCACATCGACTAAGAATGGGATGACCCTCAAAGTTCATTTATGCGCGTGAAGGCAGACAAGCGAATACTTTTGGCAACGTAGAGTAAATCCACATCCTATTGGTCAAGAATGTACCAGTTTGTTTGTCTTTTGGGAAGGGAAGGAAGGAAATACATGTCCTTTCAATGAATATAACATGAAATTTCTCTTAAGAAAACAACAAAAAACAAGGATATTTGCTTTGAATGCCATTTTTGCCCATACATTCCTCTATGCTAAGTACAAATATGTAGCAGCTTAAGTGTCCTAACAGAGGCAACCAGGAATGTCATTACCTCGTCATTTTGTAAGACTTCTAAAGGATAACTCCAAATAAGACAGAAACTTGATGAGCAGACAGTCTTGTTTCTAATTTTTGTATTTAAGAGCCTTTTTATGGAGATCTTTTCAAAACTAATCTAATTATATCAACTGTGACCCATTTATGGAAGCCCCAAAATAGGCACAAGTGTTACAAGCAGAAAGTGCGATGCAGAAAGAGTACTGAGAAGTAGTGCTGTGAGATATTGTATGTTTTGGTACTGATCCAATACCAAGAGAAAATACAGGACTAGTACTGCCACTACTAATATTGATACTTTTAACCTACAACCTGCGTCTGTCTCTAAAGGAAACCATGTATCCATCCTATCTCAGTAGTACTGATCCAGTACCAATGCCAGCGTTGCATCAACAATATCGATAATTGGATCGATGCGCCCACCTCTAACGGGAAGTATTTGTGTGACTCAGTGAATGACTGCCGCCTCTGAGTGGAAGCACGAGCATTCAGATTGGTAACACTTTAACTGTTAGCTCGTTGCTCTGTAACAACACCACCTATATCACGGCCAAATCAGATATCAGCCAACAAGAGTCTTACAAACACAGGCAGTAGTTTATTTACACAACCACGACCCTCGATCTACCGTTCGCCTCTGTGCCTAAGCTGCGCCTCGTGGTCCAGACGAGTAAGTGCACTCGAATACGAAATGTAGGAAACGAGGAGCGTGTTCGTTTATGTTATGACTGGCCAGCACCTTAAGTCAAGAGCTGTGTGTTTTTGGCTCCTGTCACAACAGAGATTTAGGGCAGAATGGGGAAGTTCAAGAGTTTGTTTCCAGCATGCGCCTGAGTGATTTCTTGGAAAGCTACGCAGAATTTATGGGAATGTCTTTGTTAATATTTTTGATGTTTATACATTTTTTTGAGGAGAAAAACATCCTCCACACTCAGTCTTTTCATTTTTGTGCTACTTGTCGAGGATTCTTGCAGAATTCTCAATAAATGTTGAATATTTTGAATATCTTGTATACAGTCGTGAGCCACCCTTCATTTATTTGTTTTTGCTAGGACAATAGGAACGTCCTATGTCAGGTCTTTGCTTTATTCAAGATTTCTTTAAGGACATGACTTTCAGATATTTTTCATCTGCTTTAGTCGTTTTTTTCTCCTCCAGTTGTTCATATACATACATGTGTTCTTCCTCCAGTCTACTGTTTTACCTCTATATAGCCAATTGAAAAAGAAAGTAGACCCTCTTTTAATTCTAAGGTTTTAGGTATGAGGACTAGAACGTATCTTCTGGTCCTAAGGAGGACTTGAATGAATTTAAATACAGCACAACAGCACATATTACACTGTGTCATTATTTAACAGTAACTAAGTCATTTCCAAACAATCTGAAGTCCATCATTCAGCAGTGAGAAAGATTATTCACAAGTGGAAAACATTCGTGACAGCAGCAGAGCTTCCCAGGAGTGGACGCCCCAAGGCTGCAAATAACTGGAGAAATCCTCTTCTCTATAAAAAGAACATATCAGCACGGCTTAGGTTTGTAAAGGTGCATCTAAACAAACTTATGGAACAATGTGCTTTGGACAGACGAGACCAACTTGCAGATATTTAGACAGCATATCGGCACAAACGCCTCATAACATCTGTCAGCACGGTGGTGGAGTTGTGATGGTTTGGGCTTGGCCACAAATAACATTTGTGTATTTACATTGAACGTTAAGACGTACTCTTACAGCAATTACAAATACCGACACAAATCCAACTCCTGTGTAGAAGAAGAATACATCATTTGAAATTCTCGCTTCTGGAATATGACTAATTTTTTTATGTAATCCATTATTATTTCTTGAATTCATCTGTCATTTAGTCTGTCAAATGTCAGAAATTTGTCACAGTTAACCAGACAAAAACACTGACTTCTTAATAATCAAATGTTTTATCATCAGGGTTCAGAAGCAGATTTTTGTGATATTTTTTTTCACTTCATGAATTACTGAGAGAAGTTTAACATTTTGGGAACTTTTTTTTAAACCCTCTTTCTGAATGTTACGTGGGGAATAGCCAGGTGAAGGAAGCCTGGTCCTAAGGTGAATAACAGCTGTGCTATGCACCCATTCTCTGTTTTGTCTTCATGTCTCTTGTGTAGTGGTTATGGAGGAGGATAGCGCAGCAGCACAGCAGTACAGCAGGCAGGGCTGCCCCACCGGGCTCCGGGCAGACCTGTGGGCCCTCATCCTTAACGCCACGAACCAGCCACAGGTATAGTACACTGTGCACACACACATGGCCGAGTTGCACTCTGGTGGCCACCGTCAGCTGGCTGTGTTTGCTGTAGAGCAGCCGTGCACACACAGCTGCAGTGATTCCCAGAGGGCATGTTTACTACAAGGGGAAATTTTCAGCTGCATCCATATTCACGCTTAACGGTTTGGAGCTGAGGGGCCATTGGACCTCAGGTGTATTCGTTTCCCTGGAGAACGGCACCAGGATTAAACACTTTGCATCCTTGCATTTATACCGTGCACTAAAAACCAACACATGATGTATAACACCAACTGAACTGCAATTTCTACACTAGACAATCCGTGCATTCGCTGGTGTGCTGCTTATCGGCTCGCTGTGACTGTTTGTAGAAACGTTAACATAATCAGATGCTGGGGGGTGTAGCACAGTTAGCACAAACAGCGTGGCTCCCTGTGTGTGTGGCAGAGGTCTGTGTAAACGCTGCAATCCAGAGTCTCATGTTGGTGGCAAGTTGCAAAAACAATGCTTGTGATTAAGAGATTGATTCGTTAGAGAGAGCTATGTGGGCAAACCGGCTGAGGTCTGGAGAGCGTTAGCACGGCTTTGGATACCACAAGGGCAAACACATTAAACAGTCACAGTTGGTTAGTTACAGACAGGATAAATGTGGCTGGTGCAAAATTGTCTGCATTGTGTATATTATGAATTAGAATTATCTTTCAGTAGATCTAATATGAAGACTGTAATCTCTTCAGTCAAATGACTTGGGTGTTGCTTTGATAAATGTTAAATAGTCTCAATCTAATTTCGAAAACAAGTTTGGGACGCGGTGTAATTAAACTAAATAATGCAAAGTGCAAATCATTTAAATCTTATATGTAACTGAAGAAGAGTACACATTGGCATTGTAAACAGTTGTTAACAAGATCTGCGATGGTGTGGCGGCGCATTTAGCGCAAATGGCACACATGCACAACTGTGGAGGTGTCATTGATGCTGAAATATAGACATTTACAGGCCATTTTATTAGGCACACCAGTTCAACTTGTGTAAATCTCGAATATCTTTAATTTCTGCCAATCACACGGTAACAGCTCAACGCATTTAGGCAGCAGATGTGGTCGAGATGAACTGATGTCAGACCAAGCATCAGAATGAGGGAGAAGGCTGATTTAAGTCATTTTAAATGTTGCATGGTTGTTGGTGCCTGATGATGAGCTGGTCTGATTATTTCAGAAACTGATGATTTTCTAAGAGTTTCCCCACACAATCATCGCTAGGATGTGGAAGAATTTGTCTGAAAAAGAGGAAATATCAAGTGAGTGGCAGTTCTCTGCCTTTGGATGTCAGCGGAGAATGGACAGACTGCTTTGAGCTGACAGGAAGACAAAAGCAACTCTACAGTCACCAGATCTCAGTTTAATAGAGCACCTTTGGGATGTGCTGGTGAGCTGCGTGGTGCTGTCATGTTAATACGGACTAAAATCTCTGGGCAATGTTTCCAGCACCTTGTTCTTCCCCTGAAGGAAGTGTGCAATCAGTTTGTTTGTTTTGTCTGTTTGTTAGCGGTCTAGCATTCAAAGTTTTCAAGGTATAATTTTCAAATTTTGTGTGAGCGTAGATGCCAATAACAGCTCGACCCTAAAGGTCAGAGTAAAAACGTTGTATTACCCACAGTGTTTTTTGGATCATCGTCACAACAATATATTGGGCCTTGGCGGACATGAATACCTAGGTGGGCTAAACATTTGACCAAGGTCAAAGTTGATCTTGAGCGCTAACACTACTCAACACTACTGAGTAATATATCATATGATGGGGCACAGAGAGAGCTTATTTTTTCAATATGACGCTCTACAACAGGGCTGCCCAATCCCAGTCCTCGAGAGCTACTATCCTGCAGCTTTTAGATGCATCCCTACTCCAACACAGCTGAATCAAATGGTTTGATTACCTCTTCAGCATGCCATCATGTTTGGCAAAGGCCTGATAACAAGCCATTCATTTGATTCGGGTGTGTGGGAACAAGGATGCATCTAAAAGCTGCAGGACGGTAGCTCTCGAGGACCGGGATTGGGCACCCCTGCTCTACAAGGTGACGCCACAGCAGGCTGACATCATAAAACATCAAAGTTTAGTATTTATTTACAACAAAACAAACCGGTATACACAACACACTTTGATTCAGCAGCATAAATACAGACTCTATAAACAGCAGGACTTTGTAGTAAGAGCCAGGCTGCATCCCTACTTCTGAGTAGGGATCCTCAGCTTCCTGAGTGCTGGTCATAAACATGCACTCTTTTTGTGATCCTATTGTATCACACAGTTTGCCATTTTACACCTGATTTAACACAGTGGGATATTTCTTATTTTTTTATCTTTTATTTTTAAAGTTTTGTAGAGTGGTGTCCAATTCAGATCGATTTCACTATCCACGAATCTAACCTGTAAAGTGAACTGCTGTGACCCATGTTTCCACTCCATACCAGCAGGAGATATAAACTTGAAGTATTTTAGCAGAAGTTGTCGGAGCTATCTTTTGCTGACGCTGTCCATATTACCACAGTGCTTTCTGTGTCCTCGCTCAGCTGTCAGAATCACAGAAACGTCTGTTTTTGCTCTCACTTCACTGCCGATCATCGCGTAGGTGCTCTTTCTTTGGTTCATTTATGATAACCTGTCTCAAACCGGAGGCGCGCTTGATTTTAACCATGCGGTCGGAAACACGTCACCTCTGCGTGAAGCCTCGTTCAAACCTGCTGTAGTCACAGACAGAGAAGGTGCATAAATTTGACTTAGAGGGATCTGTTAAAGAGAGTGAGGTATATTTTAAATAATAAATGGGGGGGAATATTCCTCTTACGTTTGCGATGCGATTTATGGATTCTGGATGTGAAACCGCCTGAAAGTTGACATTAAACCTGTTGGCTCTCTGCTGTTTCAGGATGTGATGCATTATGAACAGTTAAAGGCAGGAGTCATACAGCACAACCTGCTGGTGGACAACCTTATCTATAAGGTAAGTTACATTGTCACTGTGCTCATCAATAATCTGTAACGTTACGTCATTCTGAGATCATTGTAATTTCAAAACGTCCTCTCCGACAGGATGTGAAGCTCACCGCCAGTAATGACGACTACTACTTTGTGTTTGAAGATTTCCTCTATCAGGTAGGCGCTCTTCTCAGTTTACTTACCACACCAGGAGTTGTGTTTCAAAAAATGTTGTGACCTGAGCTCAAATATTAAAGTGCTTGCTTGGAACTTGTTACTGTTTAGCATTTCAGCATAGTTAAAACTTTGTATCTGTTGACATGTTTCTAACTTCTATCAACAGAGTTAAAGGCTTGAAACCTGCCCGTGGCCTCCCTTATCAATTTGTTACACTTATTCTGTTGTACAGTTCAGTTGTTTACACTGTTGCAGATTAAACAAAGTCACTGTTGTGTCTTCCATATTCCTGTGAGATAAGAGCTTCTACGTCACCCAGAAACCGATTGCCCCAAACATTAAAAGTCGTTTTAGCTAATTGTCACTTAATAGCAACGCTCATCTTTATCTGCCTTACTTGTTCAGCCCAGATGCGGATATGACCTTGTATTAATAGCTTCACTGGCACTCACTGCTCGGTTTCCCTTTAGTGCTCAGCTGATAAACACTTGCATGTACTGGGCAACCGGTTTATTCAGCGACTGTTTGCCCATCATGCTCCCTAATGCTAAACCGACGAACACATAGGTACATGAACAAAGCTACAGTATTCCTGTCAATGTTGACTAATGTTAAACTCACTAGGCACTGAAATGATCCACGTGTTGTTGCTCTTGAGCAGCTACGTAAGCAGAAGTTTAGAGTTTTCCAGAAATGTTATGCCATATTATAAAAAAGCCACACAATGAAACACTGTCAGTCTTGGATTAGTCTGCCCAGAGACTGGAACTGAACATTATTGAAGCAGTGTGGCATCATCTCGACAGAGAACAGAACGAAAGGCAGAAACTTCCAAAGAAGAGCTTTGAATGTCCTTCAAGATGTCTCGAGAACTATTCCTGTAGTCTACTTTGTCACAGTCTGGCAGTGGCAGACTGTATGGATTGACGAAAAGGCTCGCAGACTCCAAGGAACAGGGAACAAAACTTGAATGTTAAGAAAAAGCGAGCCGTTTAATGAGGCAGGTAACAAAGGTACAAACAAAGGGCAAACTGAAGCAAAACTAACATTAACCTAAACTGGGTGAACTAAAAATAAGCATGAAAAAACCCTCAACATGAAACTTGGCCTGGATGCAACAATACCTGAGGGTATGAAAGTTGATTATATAGAAGTCTCAAAAACTCACAAAACTCATATCATCTAATGTGATAGACTTGGCATTAGAGGGTTAAAGATGGCTAAAATGCATTTGAATTAGACCTGAGAAGTAGTCCCACAGTGACATCCCATCAAATAATCTCAAAGGTCAAGCAAACCACGATTTGCTGCAGTCCTCATCCGCCTTCAGTCTTAAGTTAACTGTACGAATTTCTGGTTTCATCTTTTCTCTAGAGATTATTTTTCCGCGCTGATGTAATTCAGCTTAAGTGGCTAGAGGAAATGAAATTTGTTCGCAGAAATATACAGAAGTTGGACTGTAATGGAAAGATCTCTAACTCATACGGTCCTTTTGTGAAACAAGCAGCCACTTAAGGCTCGGTAACTGCCTGCTTCAGTACATCCTGAAACCCTGACCCCAGATGTTCTGCTTTAATAGATTTCTTACCCAAGAGGAATCAGGGCCACTCAAGGCCATCACCAGCACAGAGCAGATAAGAGTATTAACTGCTGTCTGTTTTATCCCCGGTTGTCAGGCGGGGATACTGTTACATATTAGGAACATATCCTATATACATCCCTCATGAAATTTAAGCATTGCAAACCTTAAATCCACTATCTGATACCATCATTTTTAATCAGTTCATGAAAATGTGTCTGACTCCGTGTGTTTGTCCTCCCAGGTGTTGTTGTGTTTCTCCCGTGACACGGCCGTCCTGGAGCACTTCAAATACAACAGTGCCACACCTCCCAAGTCATACATCCAAGGTGAGATTATTAGCTAAGGACAAATATACACAGTTACGCATCTCTTCATGGCACGAGGCCAGAGGAATGCCCCTTCACACGTATAGCATGGGTTCTCATACACCGATGACTTTGCATGTTAGCTGTGTTTATTTCTTTGAACCTGACCTAAGACGAGTGTGGGATGCAGAGGGGTGAGCATGTCTGTATGGTCAGGAGTCTGTATTTTCCAGGTCATTTGAATAAATGCCTTTATTGGAAAAACAAATAAAAACACTGTTAAATGTATTTTCACTAAAATCCTGGTGATTTTATTTTCAAGAAAGTCAAAATCTCTTTGGTAGCTGCTACAATTTTTTATTTCCATGATTGTATTGTATTGTATTGTATCTTTATTTGTTTCAGACATATAAAACAAAAATCAATATATACACACTACATATATTTTCATTTACAGATACGAATATATATGTAGATATACACACACACACACGTATGTGTTCAGATAAACAAAAAATATATAATGAAATAAAACAAAATCGTCTGATGATAAGCCTTGCATGTGGTTAAAATGACTAAAAGATTTGAAGCTAATGTCATTGCTTTTCTGTCTCGCAGGGAAAGTGGGAGATGAGGAGTGTGCTGTTGTTTATCCTCCCAACGGTGAGCTTTAATATTATTTCACATGTTCTGGTAGTGTTATCTCTCTGTTCAGCAATATTTTATGTAACGGGCCAAATATCTATTGAGGGAGTGATTAACTAGAAGAACAAAAAAGTAATAACTGAAGACGGGAATTCAACATATACCTGTAGTAAAGATAACAGCAAGAATTACAAGTGAAAATATGATATAATGTTACAAAATGTACATGTAATAATATGCTAAACAACCCAGCCATGCCTAAATGTATTTTATTACACTTCTTCCTTTAAGTCACTACCTCACTGCAGACTCTGCTCATCTACATGTTAAATTAGAGAAAAGTAAGATGGCTTTGCTAATGAGATTAACTTTCCTATAGCTACCACTCTGCAACTGGTTGCAGAATACACAGTTTCACATAACAACCAGTGGTTGTCATGGGTCATGACCGGTCTCTAGGCCTGCATTCAGCCAATGAAATTGTTTTCGCTGCCAGCAGCCACTCACAAATAGCTATTGAATACACACATTTTTCCCTAGTGTCCAGTAGTTGCCACATGGTTGCCAACTGGTCTCTTGGCCTCCCTGTGATTGAGACCTAAGCCGATTATGTTAAGCACTGCAACTTCTGCTATTTCCAGCGTATTCCTCCATGATATTTTGTACAAACTGAGTACAGCGGTCCCTCGTTTATCGTGGGAGTTATGTTCCAAAAATAACCCGCGATAGGTGAAATCTGCGAAGTAGCCAACTTTATTTTTTACAATTATTATAGATGTTTTAAGGCTGTAAAACCCCTCACTACACACTTTATACACTTTTCCTCAAACAGGCATGAACATGTTCACACTTTTCTCACTTGTTTAAACACTCAAAGTTCAAACCTTCTTAGAAAAATATGTCTTACAAAGAATGAAACCAAACACACCTGCGGTTGCCTTTGATGGTGCAAAATGTTTCGTCGACATGTGTTGTGTTTGTTGGGGAGAAAACTTACAAACATACAGTGCAGCACTTCAGAGTCACACTGCTAGAGATCGAAGATTTATTTAAATTTGACAAGCTGAACGCATTCTGTACTGGACAGGAGACACAGCATGAGATTGAGTCACAATGGTCTACAGCCAATCAGGACGCAGAACACAATGCGCTGTACTACAAAAAAAAAGCATCAAAACAAATCTGCGAGACCGCGAATGGTGAACCGCGTTATAGAGAGAGACCACTGTAGTGTGTTTAGGAGTTTACCAGTGATGTGTTCATCAGTTTTTGTGTTTTTTTTTACTGTTTGTGTTATTAGGAACTGAAGTGAAATACAAAGTACTTTTGGATGTTTAAACTTCTTTATGTACTTTGTCAGTGTTCTACATTCTGGCAACGGTGTGTACTCTTATTTAGTATGGCAGCTAGGCTCACATTGCCCTGATCTCTAACCTATAAATCCATGAAAATAAAGACGATTGGCGCCATTTGTTTATCAAACCATCTCTATATAGTTTAATATTATCATCACCAAATGCTTTTCTTCACGTTAGATTGAAAATCTTATATCTTATATCATCACAGGCGGAATGGGGACAGAAGCACAGCATTTACACAATTATTCACACATTCAGACAAAAAAAGTTTACCTGGAGTCTAAAGTCAATATGGCTTGTCACGCTGAAAACCTAACTGATGTTTATGTGTAAGAAATTTACTGACTTGCATATCTTTTTTGAACAGGTGTGATTCCTTTTCATGGCTTTTCAATGTATGGTGAGTATGTTTGTGATTATGAGCGGCACTCTTGCTGATTTTTCCAGAAGTGAGACAGTATAAGCAGGATGTGACAGGGAGTGTGTATTTGAATTTCTCCCACAGTTGCGCCTTTGTGTTTCTTGTACAATGAGCCTTCCAAACTGTACAACGTATTCAGGGAAATGTACATCCGATACTTCTTCAGACTGCACTCCATTTCCTCCCACCCCTCGGTAAGATTTTGTGTTTGCTAAAAGTCAACATCCAAACGTTCTCTTCTTCTGTCTTCATGCGTGTACTTGATGTGGTTTCTCGTGTGCTCCTGCAGGGTATACTGTCTTTGTGCCTGCAGTTCGAGCGGCTGCTTCAGACCCACCTGCCGCAGCTCTTCTACCACCTGCGACAGATTGGGGTGCAGCCGTGAGTAGCACACTCCACACTGTGGTCCAGTGTATCTCACCAGGAACATGCGGCTAGCAGTGCTATTGAATAATTAGCTTAGAATAACTTCCTGTCCAATCAATCCCCGCTGTATCCAGTCCAAAACCAGTTTAAAAGTGTGCTTGGGATCATTGTCCCATTGGTTAGTTTTAACGATCTAGTGGTTGCCTGTCCTCTTCTTTCATTATGCCATCCACTTTGTGCAATATACCAGTACCGCTAGCAGCAGAACAGCGCCGAAGCATTGTGTTACCACCACCATGCTTGACAGTTGCTGCAGTCTTCTCATCTTTACTCTTTCAAACATACTTCTTGTCAAACATACATCTTGTTGTGGCTAATTGTTTGTGTAGCTCAGGGGGTAGAGCTGATCATCTGCTAGTTGGAATGTCGGTGGTTTGATCCCTGGCTGCTAGTGTCTGCATGCCAAATATCCTTGGGCAATATCCACAAATCATCCATCGGAGTGTGAATGTTAGAAGCACTTATGTAGAAAAAGCTTTGAAAAAAGTGCTTGTGTGAATGGGTGAATAAGGCAAGTTTTTTAAAGTGCTTTGAGAAAGAGTAGAAAAGCGCTATATAAGAAGCAGTCCGTTTATTAAATAGCTCAATCTTTGTCTTTTCTGAGCATAACATTTTCCTCCAGAAGGCAACTGACTTGTCCAGCTGCAAATTTCAATCAAGTTTGAAGCTTCTTTTTTATGGCGTTATTTTTGTGCCACTATTCTGAGCGCACGTAAAAAACAATTGAGCGCACGTAAAAACATAATTTGCAGGGGCAAGTGTTGCATTTTGAGGAGAAATTTATTTTGAGCAAAGAAAAGCTACATTTGAGTGAACAGAATTCATTGCTGCTTGCAAAAAATGTGTTTCAGTGTTTGCTATTATCCACACACACACACACAACTGCAGCCCCTCTCGCTCAGTTTTTGCATTTGCGCTTGCTCGCAATGTGTTGCTCGCGCTCTCAGCATTTCTGCCCGTGCGCGTTCAACTCTTTCTGTACACCGTTATATTTGTGCCACAAAACCAGCCAATCACAGACTTGGATGCAAAAAAATCAGATTGCCTGTTTTGGTCTCCAATCAGCTCGAAATTACAAAATGCAATATCCCAGAATGCATTTCGTCCAAAAAAAACTCAAACGAAGGCAGTGGCGGAGGAACACAGAGTGGCAGAGTTTGAAATATTACTCTGTCTGGGTCACAAAATAAACTTTTAAGATATTTTCATGCGAGAATGGTGCTGTGTAAACTTCAAATATCTGCTCGTTTATCAAGACATCACATATTTGCAGTATTTGCCATACTTTTTTGGTGGGTACCCTCTGAGTCCTCGAGGAGATAAAACTGGTCACACTGTGGACAGGAATGCTGGTGTGCCAGCATTTTCCAGTTCATGGCAGGCTTGACCTTTGGTGGTTCCTGGGTTGTTCCTGAACATCCTGACCAATTTCTTCATCTGAGGATTACACTTTTGGTCTTCTTCCAGACCCACATCAGAAAAACTTGTACTTGAACTCAGAAAAACCTGTTTGAACTGATGATCTTGGAATCCGCAGTTGTTTAGAAATCCAACAGACTTTTGCAAATTGTTTAAATCTACCATTGTCTTTCTTGGATCTCCATAGAGTTATTGTACTTACCCAATGTTCTGAGTATTGGTCAATTCAATGAGTGCTGTCCAATAAATCCTTTTGATATTGCAAAGAGAAACTACCAGTTGTAGTCAGTCAAGATTACTCATGAGAAGTTAACAGACCTTGTCAAGTTAAGATACTCTTGAACCTTAAGCACCACTTATGAAAAGTTAAGTGAGTGTATGAAGTATATATTTAAGCCAATATCTGTACTATTGACCCTGTGAGAATTAGAGTGCATCCAGTTCTTGTTTTTTTAAGTCGTTAAAGATGTATATTGTACAATCACCTTGGAAAAGGATAAATGCAAAGAAATCCTTAAAATCCCCAAATTAACATGACATTCACGCTCACAATCATTGTATTTAAACTTCATGCATTCAGTCATGGTTGCTTTATGAAGTATGACAACTGGCATTAAAAGATGGAGCATCACATTTAATTTTCCCCACTTAGCCTGAAAAGCTCGAGGTATTGTTGTCACCATGCCGGCTGGTTGGGTCGGCACTGGGCGATGTGAACATGATAGCATAAGACTGAAACAACATAGGATTTTCAAATGAAGTGGATCTACTAAAAATCTCAGGTAAGTTCAAATGTCTATGACATTGATCTTGAGATCAAGGTCAGAGGTCAAGTTGAATGAAAATCTTGCATTGGTTAAGGTATGCAGCTAAAATACTAGTAATGGGTCTTTTCATTTTATGACCACCCAGCAAAAATGGCTTCAAAAAAGGGTTTCATTTACAACCAACCCAGCACTTTAGGATGGAAAAAAGGAGTCTGAGATTTGGCTGTGCTGGCCCACAGAATATCTAATCCGTGCAATTTAAACACAGGATCTAAAAAGCTTTTTAAGGTTTATTATGACAATGTTGGTTTAGTAGATTTAACAAATGGAGGGTGAATGGGTGGATGGATGATTTTCTCTATACATTCAGATAAGGACAAACAGTTGCAATTAAGGACGAAACCAAATCACAGTGCTACTGAAACGTTAACACATGGCTCTGGTGTAACACAACCATACATGTGAGTGATGAAATATCTATTTAGACCTCATGGTAATTACATATAAGGTTAAACAGTCTTCTTAATGTAAAGTGTCTTTGTTCTCAGCCTGGTGGTGAGGAGGTAAAAGCCTACTAGGCCAAAGGGGTGGAGTCATAAAGACTCCTGGGTATTTCCAACAGATTGACAGGATATGATGTATACTGGTGTGGGGAAGTTGGAAAGGGGTTTTAACAGTATATGTAATAACTATTCTGATTAGTCACTCCAGGTACTTGGGTTTCAGTGTTATTTCCATGGCAATATAACATAAAAAAAATATAATTCTTACCATTACAAAAAGTGACAGTGTTTTTAGTGGTTTTTATTTATTATGATTTTAGTATTTATTATTCCTGGTTCTTACGTAGACATTTTCCTTTGAATTGATATAGTAAATAAAGTCACTAAGGCTCATATGCACCTCATTAACCTCTACAGAGACCTGGTAATTGTCTTCTAGAGCTTGTACTTCCATGAGATTTGTGCCATTTACAGATTGTACTGCCAGGAGGCTGAGTGGTAGCTCTGGCGGCCACCGGTTTTTTGGTTGTTTTTTTTTTTTGGTCTAGTATTCTTGTCTGTTCCTGTTTAGGCCATCAACATTCGATGTTTGCCTATTCGTATGGTATAAAGACTTATAGTTATCAGCTGCTCCCATCTAGTGTTGAATTACTGGAACTACAGTCTTAGTACTGATTCAGGGATCCTTTAAAAATCACTTACGATTAGTATGGTACAAGATGCTGGTATTTTACCCCGAGTTGCTTGCTAATATGACACATTTGCACAACTGTAGCCTTAAAATCAGTTTACAAACAGATGTTTTTGTCTCTAGGTTGCGTCTAGCCTTTAAGTGGATGGTACGGGCCTTTTCTGGCTACCTTTCCACCGATCAGCTGCTTCTTCTTTGGGATCGAATCCTTGGATATGATTCACTGGAGGTAGTTGCAGGTAAACAACAGTAACATGCTTGTCTCGTCTTTTTTTTTTTTTTAATTGTAATGCCCTCCATGCTTGAGTCTGATTAGCTCTTCCTATCCAACTCCCATCCTTCTATTCCAGTTCTAGCAGCTGCTGTGTTTGCCTTCCGAGCCGAGAACCTGATGGAAGTGACGTCGCTGGCTTCAGCCGAGGTACATGTGTCTGTTATATTTGACTTGTACTTTTGTGTGTGCATTTGAAACTTTTGACTTCAGTCCCTCTCCCTGTCCTCCTCACATACTCCTGGAAGGCTGTAAATAGCCTCTGATGATCATTCAGTACCAGTAACCCAGTCATCTGAATGCAGATGTCTGTAAAAACCCCGACACTTAAGAACCCTCTTACCCCGCCCTGTGCACAGCACACCAACTTCTTCATCCAAATCCCAGCAGCACTTAAAAGGAGATTTTGTCATTAATTTCAATTATTGCTGGAGGTCTTGTAACAAAAGATCAGCTGCAGAATCATCATCACAGCTTCGAATTAGTCAAATAAACAGCTAAAAGACGAAGAAGTGCAGCCTGCGATGACTCCTGCACTGTCGCTCGTGTTACACTAAATGCAGGTCTTTAGCATGTTTGTACTGTACGCGCCGTCCGCTCCCGAAACCAGGAGCAGACCATACAGTGACTCCCCTCCCTCCCTCCACCCTCCCTCCAAGGGGTGAGGCTGGGGTTAAACTATAATATGATGCATGAGACCGGCACTATTTGCTTGCTCATTTACCACCTGCCCCAGTAGAGACAAAATATCATAACACACTGCTCCTTATATTATATATTTAGAACCTTGGGGCCTGCATTGAAATGGTAAACCTTCTCTCTAAACATGATATGCTCCCTAAATTTAATCTCTCACTGACTCTCAAAAGGACAGGGTGGGGAACGGTGTACTCTTAAGCAAGGATTGTCGGTTCCCAAGGATCCTGCGTCATCATTATTATGCGTGTCGGACCTGTGTGGTTGCATTTTTTTGTCTGTTGAGAAGTGGGGCGGGGGAGAGGGTGTGCTTCACACAGGTGAGATGGGGAATGAGGTCAGAATTCTTATTTGTGTTTTCTTTGACAAACTCACTGCAGGCTGTCCTCGCTGACCTTTCAACTCTGAAGGTCATGCCGCTCATCCAGGTCTTTCTGTTTGCCACGGCCATGTGAGGAACGCTGACACGGCAGCACGGGCCGTGTTACACGCATACCATCGCCGGGAGGGATAAAGTGCCACTTAGCTACTACGCCACACCCGCACCGACATGATTAACGGTCCGATAAACAGACGGTTCAATTCCACACCGCATCTCGCACCGCATCCCAAGGAGAAAGTCGAAGCCACCTTTAGCACATAAACTGTAAATATCGTGTTATGAGATGCTGTACAGTATATAAGCATAGACTACAAACTAGTAAAAGGCTAAGCTGGCCTCCTTAAGCCATATGCTCTGCAGGGAAGAAGACACGCACACACTCGCAGGCAGCAGCGGTTGGATCAGCTCATTAGTAGACGTGTTGCACGAAGCAGCGATTGTATTGCGAGAGAGAATAACAGTAACGTCTCCAAGCTTGGCTAATGAAACGTTAATTAGCGCATGCAATTTATTCCGCTCTGTGGCTCCTGCTTGTTACGACGCTATTAAATAATGCCGATGCAGATGAACGAGGAGACCGGGACGCCCCCAGTCTGCACCAGCATGTTGAAAGAAAGCTACAAACTGAATTACGCTGTTGCTCATATATACAGTAATTAGAAGCTGCTGCGTACGTACATGGTTTATTGTATAAGGAAGGAAATGCAAATCACTGCACCCTTAAGAGACGTTTAGCGCCTTCAGTGCCAGTATTTAATTTACACCATTGTCTGTGCTTTATTATTGTATTTAAATTTTAAATAATGTATTTAATTCCTGAATGTATTCAATTATTTATGCAGTTTTTTTTTTAATTCAGTCAAATCCATTTTTGTCTGTACTTGGGTCAAAGTATTCTCTGCCAGTCAGTGTCAAGATCGTGTTTTTGGTGGTTTTTCTGCACCAGTTTTCAAATAAAATCTAATTTTGGTGAGTTTCTTCCTCTGTGATCCTGTAAAGTCGTGAATTATGTCGACCTCTGTGGGGTTCCTGCTTCTTTGGGACCAGTTATTTGGACATGCCGTACTGTAATCTGGACTCTCACCATAAGTCATTTGCAGAGAGGGCAGAATGGGAAAGTGACCAGGAAGCAGCACCGAGGGACCCGGTTGCTCTCCCTCCTCCTACATGCGGCATCTGCTCCATTTCTCCTTGGTCGCTGGCTACTCTCCTCCCCTCTCCCTCCCTCCGCAGGCTCGTATCGAATTATGCTGTTCTTCTCTTTCGTCTGCTGCTCTCCGCTGCATCTGCCACCTGTTTACTAGGACTCCCACGGCTCACTCTTTTATCAGCCGTTACACCTCCTTTGGCCTCCTGCAAGTCTGTTACTCTTGACGAGCATCACCTGCTGCTGTAGCTCGCTCACGCAGCAGTTCCTCCTGGTGGCTGAAGTGTTTCATTGCAGGGCGGCGTGCCTTGTGTCCGTCAACACCGAGGCTGGCCGCCGCTGAAAGATTTCTTGTTGAGAGCCGTATCAAGTACAGTGGGCTTAATAAGTGTTTGGACAGCAGCATGAATTGGCTCTGTGCTCTTGTTACTGCTGATATGAAATGACTAAACATTTATGGGGTTAGAGTTTTAGGCCATGGCCGCTAAAACAGCCTGCCTTACATTCCACTGTGCTAGACCGCTTGGATTACAATTCCATACAATAAAAATCTTATTTATAAGCCTGATGGAAGGTAAAATGCATGTCACAGTTTTCTGACAACAAAAAGAGGAATGAGCGTAAAATCAACCAGCAATGAAAGCGTATGATATGCAGAAGCATGTCATTCTGAGTAAATGTGGAAATAGTATACTGGGAAAAATAACATGGAATAATAAAGGTCTAATCTTTTGTTACAATCCATCTTTTGCGACAGATAAAGTTTTTTATGAGTGCTCGCTTTCACCAGCCAGGTTTTTGGGTGAAAATACTCGTGAATAAGACGGGGTTTTGTTCTCAGCATATCTATACCCATACATCTCCAAAAACGATTTAAACTCCCCAGGAGTGGCCGGCCAGCCAGAACACAGAACGGCATCTAAAGAACTGCAGGCCTCGCTTGCCTCAGTTAAGTTCAGAGTTCATGATTCATCAATAAGAAAGAGACTGGGCAAAAATGGCATCTATGGGAGAGAATCAAGGGGGAAACCATTGCTGACCACAAAGGCTCATCTCACATTTACCAAAAAACATCTTGATGATCTCAGAGACTTTTGGGGAAATATTCTGTGGACTGATGAGACAAAAGTTAAATTTTTAGAAAGTCTGGGTCCTGTTACATCTAGCACAGAACTAGCGCAGCATTTCATTAAAAGAACATAACACCCTAACAGTTAAACATGGTGGTAATGTGATGGTCTAGACCTGCTTTGTTGCTTCATGTCAGCTTGTAGTTCTTACTGCCAAGTTTAAGGGTAATTACTTTTTCACACAAAGCTGGGTAGGTTTGGATAATTTTCCTTTAATAAATAGGATCATCATCAGGTATTTTTCTTTGTATGATATTAAAATATGTTTGATGATCTGAATCATATAAATGTGACAGATATGAGAAAAAAAACCCCAAATACTTTATACCAGTGCGTTTTCTAAAATTGAACCTTTACTTGTTCATCTTAAACTCTTGCATGGGATTATCAGGGTGCTTTCATATACTCTCTGTGGGAAAAGTACATTAAAAAGCAAATACAAACTCAATTTAAATCAACTTATGGTTGGTTCACGTTGGTCAATGGAGTGTCTCCAGTCAATAAAGATGAATAAATGAAATGCTTCTGTTACAATATTTAGTTTTGCAGTACATTTTTGTGGATATGAATGTAGAAATGCCCGAAACAGAAGTAGCAGCCACTTTCCTCTCAGTAAAGCACCGAGTTTACTCGTAATAAACCCAGTATAATCCCTTAACGTCGCTTTGTTTCCCGCGCTAAACATCCTCAAAAGAGACAAAAAAAGATGCCATGGGAGGCATCCAATCAGATTCTGCCATGTTGGGACAGCGCAACCAATGAGAGCGCTCAGCACGGAGGAAAACTTGGCTGTGCCTGGAGAACAATGAGGCGGGCATCACCGAGACGAGAAAAACCCCAAAGTTTCTTTGGAGGGCTCCTCCGTGACCATCATTAAACTGCCCGAGGGAGTGAGTAAAGAGCGGGTACCTCTGCGTGTAACACCGGGGTGGTGCAACCGGGTGGCGGTGCTCGTCTTGGCTCGACAAGCTTCGCTGAATTTCCCTAAAAACAAAAACAAATCCCTCCCGTGGTGACCTGCACGCGGCAGTGGTTGGGGCAAATTAACCCCCCCTCCGCCCCGTCGTTGCTTCCTCTCCCGGCACTCCTCCTCTCTCCCTCCTCCTCCCCCGGCTCCTGATGTCAAACCATTTTGCATACCGACTTCCGCCCCGCTCGGCTTCCCTTCCTACTGGTCTGCATCAGCCGGCGAGCAGCTGATATGACTGGAGGGGGATACAGTATCGCGCCGAGCCATGAGAAGCTGACTTAAAAACTTCATTTGGAAAGTAGGCGGATGTCGTGTGCGACAGATACCGGTCGGAGAAGGACTAAGGGACAGGAAACGGAGCAAGAAGAGGCGCATATATATTTATATTTACATCTAATATTTTTACTTGATGCAGTGGGATTTGCTGCTTTCGTGTGAAGAGGCGGACCTACGAGACACTGCGAGTTCAATATGCTGAGGCTGTCCCCGGTGTTTGTATACTATACGTGGAAGTACAGAGACTATTTTCTTCCAACTCACTGCTCCACGTAAGGATTTAACAGAGCACTTGGCATTAACTGTAGCTCCCGGATATCCTCGGCTGCTACCATTTTTTGAGTCTGGTTTTGTTTTGGATAGGGAATTCCTACACATAGGCTGCATGTGCTTCCCTCTAATACACAACCTGGTCGTGTTTAGTAGCTAACACATATACATACATAAATATATATTTTTGAATGCATAGATTTGGATATGGGGTTGTCATTTGTCCTGCCTCCCAGCAGACACCCCTCTGAAACAGCCAGTAAAGCCATTAGAGGCTATTAAAGTGATTTCTTTTTTTTCTTTTTTAAAAGAAGGGCTTCTTTCAGGGTAGTTTGGCGAACAATGAACTATTATTTCGTGGGCTTTTTCCACGCTCCTGTGAGGTTTTGTGCCGGCAGTCAGTGACTGGCTCCTGTTTTTAGCTGTCAGTCCACTGCAGGATTATTATTATTGTTGTTATCTTTTGAAGTTCAGGTGCCTTTTTTGTCGTGACACCACATATTTTCCGCTCTAAAAAAAGACTAGATTTTTATTTTTACTGGGGGGTTTTTAATCGTTGGCTGTGTTCACCAGTCTGTCCTTTTTTTTCTGGGGTATTCCCCCCACCACCACCTGTGATTTAAATCTCCATCTACACTGTCAGTCCCACGGATTACTAGATTTTCACCTCATTTCCACAATGAGTTACATCCACAGGGTAGTGAATGTATTGCTACGTGGACTCGTCATCTATGCGGTACTCGGCTTGGAGTGCTCTTACTCGAATGATCTACCCAGCCGCTCGTCTGATGCTCAAAACGTAGCCACCACAGGTAAGCGCAGTCCATGTCGGACACAAGTGTCTCTAATTTATTTACGCATGTACAGTGTTACCCCCACACTCACCCCTCCCCTCCCTCTGTCTCCCTTTGGGAAAGCCGAGGAATGCCCTGCGCAGCAGCCTAATGGAAGTGATGCATCTTATGTCGACTGTCACCTCTCTGTCTCTTTCTCTGTTTCTCTTTTTTGAATTCCTCTCCTTTCTGTTCATTGCTGATGAATGCGTGACATGACAGGAATGCAGGCTGCACTCACATCCGTGCCATCAAGGCTGCTGTGATGACATGACAGGTGCCCTTATGGTGTTATAATGCACAGCATAGCTCTATAATGCTGTGTGTTTTGAGCCCGGTTGATCATTTCCAGAAGGCCACAGGTGACTAAACCCTCCCCAGCTAAACTGTATTGTTGACATAACCTTATTAGAGCAGGATTTCCATCAATTTGCATCCAGGCAATATTTTGAACCAGGCCCTTTTTTATACACCACGCTGTCCTGAACTGACAGCATTATAAAAAAGCCTTGTACTATTTCCTTCTCTGTTTGTTAGAGTTACCTTGACACAAGGACTGAAAGGGATGCTGAAGCTAATAAGCAGCACCTGGCCTTGTTTTAGGGCCTTTATAGTCGAGTTTAAAACGATACACCGGTTGGTTTGACTGCATACCTGTGTAATGACATAACTGTTTGTTTCTGGAGGCACTTGACATACAGGTAAATATATATGTATATAGGTGTTTGCTGTTTGAGCAAATATACATTTCAGTGTTATGTAACCGACCTCACTGAATCTGAAGGCTCATGTTGAAGAGCAAATTAGTAAGCTACAGTATAAGATATTTAGTGGTGGTTAGTGTTGGATTACTAAGGGGGTGGATCACTTCTTTTATTGTTCTTTGTGTAGTGCTTTCACTGGGGAACCCCTTGGAACCTAATAATTAAGTAAGTGACAATGATCTGAGTGCAGTATTATACTGAAGGCATCTGGTGAATTATACCTGGATAAGTTCATATAGATACTTTCATTGTGGTGTCCTTGCTAATGTATTGGGACATCCCAGCATAAATTGTTTATGGCTGTGTGCTGATCCTTGACCGTTTGTGGTAAGTCTCTGTTAACTGAACTGAGCATTTAAAGGAGTATTTTAACATTTTCAGAAGACTCCTTTTTCACTCTCTTGAGTGGGACCTGTTGCCAGGCAGTCGGTGGAATGTCCAGGAATAGTTGGGAGCCTTTACCGTCCACTTTTGTACACATTTAATCAAGGAAGATATAATTATGTCAGGATTATGTCACCGTTGGACTGACTCAGTTTGTTTCCATTATGTAGGCTTCATGTGAAGCTATGTGCTAACAGGCGGCTGGCTGACAGATGAGAGTGGGATAACTGTTTCCTCCTAATTTTCTGCAGAAAAAGTCCCCCACACATGCATTCAGATAAAAGACAAATTTAAGCAGATATTTCTTTATCTGGTTAAGTGAACAAGCCCAGGCATGTATTAATGGTTTGATTAACAATCAACCAAGTCATTCTAGACCAAAACAAAATATCTGACAAAAGTATATTTGCTGGGAAACTTCTGGAGCATGTATATGGTCAGGGCAATCAAAGTTAATCGATATTTTGTCACTTTGACTATCTTCAGACTTCTTAAGCCTGCTCAAATGAGCTTTGTCATCAGAACTCTAACAAGTTATGCACCCTACCGGTAACACAAAACAATTCAAATCAAAATGCTCTTTACGGGAATTCGCTTTGAAAAGACTGTTTATTCCCACTTTCCTAAGCTATGAGTTGACAGTCAAAAGGCTGACAAACAGGAATCAACCTTAATCCTAACTCTTGGCAAAACATATACAGGAATTTCCACAAATGTCCAACTATTCCTTAAACTTAGTCTGGTAACGTGAGCGTCCAAAGGCATGAACAACAGATTTGACTGAAAAATAAACTCAGTCATATCTCTCTTGAAGTTATGCAGTCCTGTCACTGTTAACTACATGGCATTAACTTGTCCACCACTGTAACTCTACATGGTAAACTATAATTTTGGTATGCTACTGTTCAGCAGTTTGTTTAACTGCTTGTAGTAAAAATAGTATAAAAAGGTATAACACTGGCTAACTAACCCAGCAGTAACATTTTCTTAAAATTAGCTAAAAGCCATGAACTAATAATCAGATCAGAGAAGCTAAGGCTACTGAGGTTTTGTAGATATGTGACCATTAACCACGAGATGCTATCTCATCCACAATTTTGAAAGTGTGGCAATCATGATGACAAGTGAACAAGGCCCAGTCATACAGGTATAACCTTCTAAAATGAAAATGGGTACTTCCCAACCAGTTGGTACATGGTTGCTTGCAGTCATTATGAAATTGACTTCTAAAGCCTTAGTGGTGCAGCCCTAGAAACTATTTAGTGACCCCTGGCAACCATGCGTTGCTAGGGAAAAATATGTATTTCTCAACTGGTTGGAGAAAACCTCCTTGGGATTGCTGCAGTCCTTAGCAGATGGTTGTAAATTCTAGGATGGAAGATGGTGACACGTCTGCAAACGCTTGCTAGCTATTACTTGAGCGATAGTGAAACTATGTGACAAGTTGGAAATGGACTGGCTGCCTTCGAAGTAAAAGTTGCACCTTTTTGAAATAGGTTGACTGCAGCGCTGGGACACAACTTAAATTAATTTTCAAGTTTTTCTATCACTTGATTAGAAGTTAGCAAGCATTACAGGCAAGCTGGAGTCTTCCATGTAAACTAAGGGAGTGATTGCAAAAGTCTGCTAGCAACCAAAGCAATCACAAGGAGGTTTTTGATGCAACACCCTCTTTGTTGATGTCCCCCAGCAACAGGTAGCAACCCCCAGGAACCACTCAACAACCATTATCCATGTGTGACGGCCCACGAGAAACCTTAATACATAGAATCCAAACAAGGTCTATTTACAGGGAAATTACAGGATTGTACCATTTCAGAGATGGGGGGTTAGGATTCTTGCCCTACATATCTGATAATCCTTTACCAAATACCAAAACTTAAGCATATCATTTTACAGCTAATATTTGATGTTTTGTTACACTTTGTAGCCTTAAACTCCACCCTAGTTTAGTTATATTCCTCACTTGCATCTTCTGACATACCCTCACAGGTAGATTTTAAAGTGGAAAGTTGTCTCTGAGCCAAATGTTAGCATGAATTGTTATTACAATTCTTTAATCGCATGAAGCTTAATTTCAAATGTTAGCTTTTGGGCTTTGTCTTTGACTTTTTGCAATTAGGGACATTTGCACAAACTCAAAATGAGCTCTGTGCTATGTTAACAGAACACTGCTAGGCGCTTCAATTGAAGACACACAAAAAGCCTCATAAATAAAGGCAAACAGACTAATTTATATCTTTATTTCATCTGGTGCATCCGTGCATGTCTGTAAAACCTCCTGAAGGTATTAAACCTTGCCCCAGACAGCTATTAAGCATCTGTGACTGTTTACAAGTGTCAAGCTGCTCCTGAAAAATCAACCAGGGGTTTTACAGTATATTGATTAATAAGGCAAAAGCACAGAGGTCCTGTTCCACAACAGCATGACAGTGTAAATACGAACCAAGGGATGATATCAGCTCTCTCTTCCCATGAACAAGAAAACGAATGAATATAGAGACGGTGGTGACAGGAAACAAAACCACACTGCTAACCATTTCCCACTCAGTACTGTGGAAAGGTCAGCTTTTCATTGAAAGGTCAGCTTTCCATGAAGGTGGCCTTTCGATAGTATAAGCTGAGGGAAAGCACATGCTATATGCTATTGCACCCTTTCACCTTACCGGTTCTTCAAAACCATTAATAATGCATTTGTCATTCACCCATTTACACACACTAACGGTGGCAAAGCTACTATGCAAACTACTTGCCTGCCAGTGGAAATAACTTTAGCTTCAGCCTCTTTTCCAAGAATACGTTAGGATGTGGAGAGGCTTGGGATGAAACTGCTAGGCTGACAATTGGTAGATTGTTTTCCCTGAGGCATGACCTATCTCAGTTTCTATATGTTTAACAAGTCCCTCAAATGTCCTTGTTTTTAATGTACTTTTAATGAATATTTAATATGCTTAGATGCAAAACAAAGGTGCATCACATTTTATTCTTATGATAGCTTTGCTTGCTAACACATTGTAACATTTGTAGTTTCCATGGAAGATGCCTAGTTGTCTAAAAACACTAACTATTAACCGAGCGGTCGTAAAACTAAAAAGTGCATCTTGCACGCGGTCTACTGCAGCAGTCCGTTTGCAGCCAGCAACCACTCACAAGCCAGTTGGGAAATAAACTTTTTCCTCCTAGTGATGTTTGTCAGATGGTCAACGTGTGCTCTCTAGGCCTGTGTGACTGTGACCAGATTCCCATTTTGAGCCTAGAAGGAGACGTGAGTGACCGCAGTAATCTGGTTGTTTTGGGAATACTCGTTTTCCCTCATGACGGCTGTTTGCCATCTAGTCACTCGAGCGACGCAGTCTCGTGAGACTGGGGCCAGATTCACTTGACCCGTTGTCACCCTGATCGTTACAAATGCAAAATGGAAAAACTGTAGTTTAGCATGAAGGCACTCCAAAAGTTTGTTTAGGGAAGTGACTCGTTAAATATATAACCACTTACACTGTACATATTGTCCTAGCATGTTATTACATAAAAGGTTTTTACTACTTATATTTGTCGAGGCATATATAAAGCCTGTGCCTAAAGCCTTTAGTGTTTTCTATCAGCAGTGGTGATACAAGTCTGCTATTTTTAAACTGTTCCAGTGTGGAGGTAGATAGTCCAAAAGGTTCAGGTTTAACTTCTGACTGGCCAGAGATGGGTTCCTTGGAGATTTGTGATTCCCAAAGACAAACCCAGAGGAACTCAGAGAATAGAAATTGATTCGACAGTGACGGTGGTTAAGTGTGCAGTTTATCATGAGCGTATATTTAATAGCTCGTGAGCATATTTGTG